AGAAAATATCAACATTAATGTAACAACAGATGATGAACTTATAGTAAAACCTTTCACCAAAAGAGCACCAGTCAAAAAAAAAAATACTGTTAATAATGATATTAGTAATAAAAATGATAAATTACCTGTAATTGCAACATTTTGTTTTAGGTAATGTGGAATGCTGCATCATGATTTAATTTTGTTTTATTAACACACCCTTGCAGACATAGTTTGAATATATCTATTTCAATTTGTTTACATGGAAATGAGCTTTAAAAAATATTAATGATAATCGACTTTTTTTTTGACAAAATAATACCAAATGCCAAATTTAGAATAATTTCGAAGAAGCCATTAAAATTTGAAGCCTGGGGTTATTAAACACTATATGATTGACTAAAGATAGCTTTCATAGGCATATGAAGAGTGATTCTCTCAGAAATTACAGAATTCCGATTCAATTGTGTGAGTAATGAAAAATTACAAGTTATTCAAACGTTGTTTGTCACTGATGAATGCTCTGTAAATAAGTGTTTTAACCTACCTGGAGAATTACGCTGCCATGGTTTTGGTATAATATTTAAAAAAAGTTAGTGCCCCTTTTAATATTATTTTTTTTTTTTATTATTAGAATAATTTCCTTATCAGATTTAATATAGGTAGGGCAGTTCTGTGTGTTTATTTTGGTAATAATACAAAGTATGTATTTAAGTATTTAACACATAATAATGAGAAAAAATTAAGAATTTTACTTAATTTACACTAAAAGTAATTAATTATTATTTAATTACTGGATGTGAATAAAAATATGAATCTATACTACTGATTTGTATTATCTATTTTTTTTTTTTTTTTTTTTTAGTAGTTTTGCAAATCTTAAATTAACAATTTCTTTAAAACAAATTCTTATAATAAACTGTCATAATGTATTTTAAATTTTAATATTTTAGTTAACAGTTAGATCCAAAAAATTACTATTCAACCAGAACTTAATTTATACTATCTGCATTGATACATAATTTTTGAAAACGATAACGATATTATTATTGTAATTAAATTAAAAATGTTGGTAAAATAACAAATTTTCCTTATTTAATTTTTAATTTATTTCAAAAATGAAACTCTAATACAGTTATATTTATTGTAACACAAAATGTTAAGTACACTCGAATGTATTTTTGAATCGGGGTAGATATCATTTTCATGACAAGCTGTTTTTAAAATGTATTAATTTTTACTATTATAATATGTTATCAATCATCTAAGTTATATAAAAATAATTGGTTTGAATTATATCTGAATTTTGTTGTCAATTTTAATTTTCCTTGTTTAAAATATAAAATAATTATCATTTCTTTTGTAAAATTATTTCATGAACTAATTTTTTTTAATACTCATAACTGTACATAAATTTCATTTTTATAGAATATTGAATTTAACATAATAATATTTTTATACTCCAATTTGTTACAGAATGAAAATGAGAAAGCCAGAATAACATAATTATATGGATATTCTTAGGGAAAAATAATGGAATGTACCTAACTGTTACTGTTATTAATTTATGCACCATATATACAATGCTTATAATTCTTGGATTAAAATTAATCTTTTTCTGATATGTACTGTGATGTCAGGTGAATATTTGCATAATTAGTGTTTGCAATTATTATTGGGTGTGTATCATTGTGTCAAGCAATATTTTTCTATATCCAAGTAAATAGTTTATTAATAAAACATTGGTTAAAAACAATTTAATTTCAAAATTATATTTTTACAGGTTTCCATTAATGAACTTTACGATTGCTGTACATTAAAAACAAAGAATAAGTTATTAGAAATTTTGAGTGTGTGATCAGTTGAAATAACACGAACATAATAGTTTTGTTTTGTTTTTATTTTTATTAAGTCTTGTTGACATTGTTCTTCATTATTATATACATTATGTTTTCATCGTTATTGAATTTATTTAATTATTTGTTTATTTATTTTTTTGAATTATTTAATTGTATTATTTAATACAATTTTACATTACTGTGGCTAGTGGTTACTTTCAAAAATATCACATTTCTTAAAAAAAAAAAAATTTAAAAAAATATCTAAATAATCACATATTATGATCATAAGTTATAGTTACTGTAGATAGGCATATGAAATCATACGAGTATCTAAAATATTTTGAATTTAATATTAAATTTCAGTTAAAGCTTTATTATTTTAGTTTACTTTATCTTATATTATATAATATATTACAGGTGCATTGAAATAAAAATAATAATATTAATAATTTTTAAGTAGATCTAAATTCTTATCAAATATCAAACCCTAACTTTTATCAATAACTTTAATATAATTTAATGTTTTCTTTTTATTTGTCCAATGAAATTTACTTAAGTAAATTTATCAAAAATATTGGTTAATGTATTAAAATAATATTATTTTTTAATTATAAATTGGTTTAAAATTTAAACACACAATATGATAATTTTTATATTTTAAAAATAATATAAATTATAAAAAACAAACTATTAGCTTAAAAGTTAAAAATTATAATTAAACGAGGAAACCAAAGATTCGAAAAGTCATAGCTAAGAGAGATAATTTAAGTAGTAAATAATATTGGAAAAATTGTTAATTTTTTAAAATTTGTATTGGAACATTTGGAACACTCAATTTTTTATTGCTTAATATTTAGTATATATTAATATATATAACTCCTCAAATTAAATTTTCTAAGACATTAACTTTTAAGAATGTGTTGCTACATACCGTATGTAGCAACACATTTTTAAAAACATACCCCTGTTATTTTCATCAAATCTCCTTTCACTAAGACTAAGACTGATTTTTAGTACGGTCTCCTACTCTTCAAGATGTATTGAAATTTAAATTATTTACAATTACATCATTTTTTTATTACGTATACATATATATATATATATAGCTTAAATTGTATAAAAGATTCATTTTTATAAATGTAATAATGTCTTAAATTAAATTATTTTGAAAGATTAATAATAGTTTAATATTAGAAACACTTTTGTTTATAACAGATAAATGGGAAATTGGCTATAAATTATAATATCTGACCCATTGCGCACACAAAATCTTCAAATTACTGTTTATTAAATTTAAAATATATTATAATTACATTTATAGAAGCAAACTTTAATTTGATTAAAATTATTCATTGTACTTAATGAAAGAAGTTTGATTATATTTTGAAAAATATCATTTCAATACATACTCCATTTAATTGCAATAAAAAAAAAAAAAAAGTACATAATATAATTACAATTAAAGATGATAAATGTATAAATTAGTATTATGAAAAGTAGAATGTATTAATAGTTATTTTCTAAATCTAAATGATTTAGAAATTTTAATAAATTTGATTTCTTGCTCTTTTTCGAATTCAAGTATGACATGTTTTAACTGTTTGTTCAACTTAACGTTATATCATATTTTTATAATACAAAATAAAATTACAAACAATTTGCATAACTTTGTTTACAAAAAATAATTTTATAAAAAAAATTTAATTACATAGATAAGCACCAAAGAGGTGACTTAATGTAGGTAATATCTTAATATATATAATTTGTTAATATTTTATTTCCTCTTTGAAAAATTATAATTAATTTGGAAACCATACAAATGTGCAATTCAATGCATATATAAGTAGTTAAATTATTATAGCTTACAGCTTTATTGTTATGATGACAATTATTACTATCAATATAAAACCATGAAAAAATCGTGTGATTTAACGTCGTACTTTCAATAAGTATATTTCTGTTTTGGGTGTCTATTAAAAAGTAAAAATGTACCATAAACAGAGTTGGATGGACGAGGCCGCATTATGTATCTAAATTGCAATTTCACAATTTTATTTTTGATTCACAATAAATGCAAAAAATAAAATTAATGCAATACAATTATATTTTCAACTCAACATAATATGAGTATAATAACGTACAGATGGAGAACATTTGTTCTTTTTCTATCACTAACGAAATATTATACTTTTCAGGTATGACTATACATATCTACGACTATACAGTTACGTGGGCTACACTTGGTACCTACTCTATCTTTTTAATATGTATTAACTATATCGACTATTGAATGGACGCGTAGTAGGCTCTGATAATTAATATTGAAATACTGTTCATTATGATGAAATATTTACAATATGTGTGTCAATGTCAATTTAATTATATGTTCGTAGGTATTCAACATCTAATTTTCTAGTGATGGGCGATAACCGTTTATTAGTAATTTCGCATAGTATATATTGAATAATTGCTTTTCGATTGAAAAATAATATAGTTTAACTTAGGTATTTTGTGTAACAAGATTAATTTTTGATATTAAATATGACGATTCTATATCTTATTAACTTACTTGTACCTATATAATATTATATAATAAATATTAATGGACCAAACCACAGTCCGAGGCTATAATAGACTCAAAGCTCGCGGCGAGTTAAAGGCAAATCAACCGCATCAATATCTAACTCAATTAGGTACCTGTAGAGTGGTTTTATTTCAACCGGGCTAATGAGTAAAATTACGCATTTTTTTTTCACTTATATTCCATCAATCTCATACCTATAAGTGGTTTTTTGTACTCGCACGATTATTGTGGGAAATAGAGGGGACGTTTTCAGGAGCGTTGCAATAAATTTTGGATTTCAGCTCTTAGACTTTCTTTGATATCTGCTAACCTATCTAATTCGCTTCTCACAGGACTTAAACGTTAATCAGTTCATTGACGCGAAATAAAAATAAAATAACTGTTTCCTGTATTGCAATACACCATAGGTATACGCCGTGTCAGCGACCAGTATACAGCCAACGGTACCGCGCATGCAATGTCGACTTCGCTCAGGCCTAGATTTATGTTTTATCGGTCAACCCGATTTAAATGTGTGCAGTAAAATATCGAGCTGTGCAGTGTGATAAAGTAAAATATTCTAATTGTAAGAAACAATTTTAAAACATATTTTGGTGGTTGACAATTTGAAATTTTATTTACACAAAAATACAATAAATTATTTGTTTCTATAATTCACAATAAATTAGTATTGTTTGTATGCTGGGGCAGCGTACGATTGTTTGTAGGCTGGGGCGGCGTGTCCGTAAGCTGGGGCCGGGGTGGAGTATCCGTAAGCTGGGGCAGCTGGGTAGGCTGGTGTGGTGTAGGCTGGTGCGGAGTAAGCCGGGGCGGAGTAAGCCGGGGCGGAGTAAGCTGGTGCGGAGTATGCCGGGGCGGAGTAAGCTGGCTTGTAGGCTGGGGCGGCTGCTGGGTAAGCTGGGGCCGATGGGTAGGCTGGGGCAGCTGGGTAAGCTGGGGCCTTGTACGCGGGCTTGTAGGCCGGGGCGGAGCTGTAAGACGGTGTGCCTTCTTTCTTCACTTCGGCGACGAAACCGTTGTAGTCGTCGGCGGTGTATTCGACGATTCTCTTGGTGCCATCGGGTTCGACCAGGCTGTAGGATCCTTTGACGTATCCGTTACCGTCGCTGTATTCGGATTGGCTCTTGATGTCGTATGTGGCGTCATCGTGTACGCTGTATTCGAAGTTGTATGGGGCTGGGGCGTAGGCGGGCTCCGGGGCGTAAGCCTTGGGTGCCGAGTAAGCGGGTGCTGGGTATGCGGCGGCGGGTGCTGGGTAAGCAGCTGGAGCCGGGTAAGCCGGGGCGGCGAGTGCGGTGGCGAGCACGCAGGCGAAGACGGTGACGGTCTGAAATGAAAAAAAGGACAATATGATGATTAATAAGAGGTTTGCTGCATGTTTTCTTGGAATAAAAAAATAAATTTATGAAATTTGTGGTTTTACAAGCCATGTGCTTACGTATTATTGTAAGACGTGTATTATGCACTTATTTAATAATTTTACGCAGACAGTATCGATGAGGTCTTTAGAATATTGCATCGCGTCATTAGTTTTATACTTCACTACATGGTGTGGTCTATTAAATCTAAAAACGGAAAAACGAGGCGGTTCGCTTTGTATAGTTGGCATTGTATGTATATATGGTACAATTAATCTAACGCTGCAGCTGCATTTACGAAAGTTTATTTGCTTTAGTAAGACCAAGGTCGTTATACGGATTCGATGACTTCCGACCTACTACGTAATTAGACGAACTATATTATACAATAAATTGCACTTTCTCGGAGCCTACACGTGTCGTCGACCGGATTGTAATTATTATTAAATGCAGTGGAATGTCCGGTATGACCGACGTGACTAATCTAAATCGGCTATTGCTGTCATTGTATAAGGTGTACGATAATAAACGACTATGTTTGAAAAATGATTTTTATTTGTACAACCCGTCAATGTGCGTAAGCATTTCAGAATCGCAAGTCTAGTCATTATCCTTATAGATTTGTTATTTGTTAAATAAAAATCATGTTCGTCAGAGGTGATAAATATTTTACTATCAGTGAAATTTTTTCCAACAAGTGAACTAAAATTCAATTCAAATGCGTTTTGAATTTTGTTGAAATGAAAAATGATTTTAATTTAATCTAATCGATGTAAATAATATGATATAATAATCTAAACTATAAAAGAACATGACGAGAAAACGTTGAATAAGCTAAACCGTATTTTATATTACAATGGATTTCCTCCAATTTTTTAATAAAATTATATTATTGTTCTATACGAAAAAAATAATTTCTTTTACATTTGGAGCGATAGGACGATGAAGGAAATAATTATTATAATAACGCGTGTACTCACTTGGTATGCCATGGCGAATAAATAAGATTTTTTTTTGGTTGTTGAGTGCGTTGAAGTCACTGAACGTTTTGACTGAATGTAAAGTTCTGGTGGCTGGTAGTCGGATTTATATACTAGCAATGCGTCTGGTTCGGCCCCCATTGTCCATGGTCGAGGGGTGTTTGTTGGGTGGGGCCGAATACATATGATCGGCATGATATTATATCAGGATTGCGCGACCCCGGCGTCCGAGACGTGTGCCTTCGGGGCGAAATTTTATCGAAATAATATCGTAGAACTACCGAAATCAGGTTATTACACAGAGTTGTTACGCACATTTTTATGTGTGTGAGTGTGTGAGTTATTATTATTTGTTCGCGATAAATTGGGCTCGATGCATTTATGTAGAACTGGTCCTGTTGGCCAACAATCGAGCTGGAGTTGTTATTACTGCAATGTGTATTACCTTTACACCGACATTTTGCCAGTAAAGATCATATTATGTAGATATAAATTGTTATACAATGTAACTCGTCATTTATTATGCTACTAGTAACATAATTTCATATAAGTACTTCACTGTTATTAGTAGAGTTCGGCTTTTAAAATACAATAAATAACAAAAAAATCAAAAATTGGTTTAGAAAAAGCAAAAAAAAAAAAAAGTATATTTATTTAAAAAAAAATACATAGCAAAAATAAGCTAAAACTAAATAAAAAATTTAATTAAAAAATTTAAAAAAAGAATTAACAATCATATATTTAGCTAAATTTTCAATTGTGAAACCGACTTTATTATTATCAAACAAAATGTATACAAAAATGAGCATAATTATATTATTATTCAATAGCAAACCGTAAAATTACCTCACACCTTCACGTTTATACATTTATAATAATTGATAACTGTACTGAAACACAGGTACCAATAGATGTTTATAGTATTTAAAATGATTAATAATTAAAAATAGAGTATAATAGCATCATGACTGATCAATCATAGATATTTATTATTGTAAATTTTTTTTTTTTAAACTTTGAAATTTTGACTTTAAGTCCCAGGTCCTTCACCTTATACTAATTTGAGACTTGAGTTAATACATTTTTATTACTCGCTTACCTTAAATATAAAATATTATTATAAGTAGGATTATGGACTAGAATGTAATGTCTTAAAGATTATAAAATAATATCTAATTATAAGTGAGTAAACAAATTACTTAATTTGTAACATATTTATCTATGCGATATAAATGCAAAACATACATATTAAATATAATTTAAAAGAAAAACATTATTTCATCATCTCTGCATATACCTATGTCCTATACGTAATATTTGTCATAATCTAGTCGTAGGCTATGATATAAAAAATACGCATAATATTTACTTAATTAATAAACCATATCGAAATCTAATTTTAGTCATAATATTTCCTATCTATTTTCGTAATTGAACGTTTATAGATCTTCAAGGATATGACTTCGTTAACGAACGAATGGTTTGAACTGTGGAATCAAAAAAACCATCTCAAAATCACTTTATCATAAATAAATTGCAAATAGACCCGATGAATATGATAAAATAACAGCAGTATTTCAAATATTTATAATATTTTAACCGTATTTGATTATTTACATCGTATTTTATTGGTTTTATTTTTTATTATACAAAAAATATTTATATCATCATATACGTAAATATTATACATAATGTAAATACATTATTAGGAATTACTTTTTTTTTACTAATGAGATATGTATGTATGTATATATGCAATTTTTATTGTTACAGCGTATTATTGTATTTATACTATTATGAAAGTAGCTGTTACATTTATCCAAAGCTTTGAAGCAAATGCAACGTTAAGTTTGACATTGGTCTTTACACACACAATAGGAAAAGCCTTGTATTTGTCCCCCAGAAATATAAGAAACCTTTTACACTATTTTGATATCAATCACTTATATCGAGTTAAAGAACCATTAAAAAGCTAATTAAAAATATAAGTACAATATTATATATAGGTTATATTTATATACTATAGCGGATACCTACTAATAGGGCTGGATTTTATGGAGGACATTATGGGCACTTATTTTATGTCACACATTTTTCGTATAAGTAAATGTAATATGGATATTCAGTCTATATTAAAGAGAAAAAATGTTGTATAATATCATGTTCTAAAAAAATAAAATTGGTTAGGTTAAGTCGCGTGACTACGGAATCAATATAATTATTGTTGTAGCGTAGTTACAGTGTTACACGTTGTACAGACGTTTAATCATCTTTCACTTTAGCGTATATTTGTGGATTGTAGATTGCACTTATTAGTTCCAAATTTCTGTAACTAATATTACAGATTTAACTATTCGTTATTTCACTATAATCAGTCAATAGAATACGTTTGTAATTTGAATAACAACATTTATTTATTTGTCTTGTCTTAGAGTTAATATCTAGGTCTATATCTTTCTACTCATGAATATAACTGAAAAATTATTCGATATAGTTTATTTTGGAGATAATTTAAAAAAATTAAACAAAATTATTATTTAAAATGAATATATTTATATATTAAACTCACAAAAAGTACTAACAATTGAAAGTGACATCTATAAACTATGTACAATGTATTTAAAATCAAATAATAATTAATGATCAGTTTACTCGTATTTTTTATTATCAATTAAAAACTAAAAAAACTATATTGATACTATTATTTTAAAGTTTTATGATAATATATTTCTTAAATTTTGTGTTGAAAAAAATTTTTAAAACACTATTTTCCTGCTAAAAATATATTTTAAATGACAGTGAATGTAGCTCTTATACAAAATGTATTACTTGCTATATTGGGATTAGGTGGGCTTTTATTTCCTTAACTGATTATTTACTTATTAATTTAAAAAACCATTATTATAATTAAACCACGATGTACAAATTATTGTATACAAGAAATAACTCTGAGGCGTCAGCCTCAATTTATAAGGATATTTTATAATTTATTTTTTTATTCGTGTAATCATTTCATTTACTTAAGTTTATTAGATTATAAAACAAAACGATTTTTAAATCATTAATGTTCCAATAGTATATTTATAATGTAGTATATAAATTGTGTAACACTATATTAATTGTTTTAAGAAAAGAAAGAATTTTCTCAAAGTTGTATTCTTGTAACTTATCCATTCAGGACTAATTAAAAACTGTCCGGAATTACTAGTTTTAAGACGTCGCCATTTATATTATTATATATTTTCATTTTTTTCTCCAATAAATTTCAGTTTTTAGAATTTAGTAACCTTTTACTGTAAGATCTGATATATTATAGATCACATAGATAAATGTCCACAAACGGTAGGTACTTTATATCTTCATTAATAGGAAAGAGAAAAAATATTATGTTACGCAGAACTAAGATAAAGTGTTGTTATGCTTTTATTATTTTATCAATTTATATTATATTTACTTTTATTATTTATATGTTTTATTGAAATACATATATATATTATATATATATGATAACTTAATAAAATACATAATTAATTAAAATAAATAATCAATATTACTGGCATGTGTTTTTTTTAATTAATAATCCATTATCTTTTATTAAGTACACAAGTCATAATTAAAGTTATTTTTAAAATAAATAAATTATTCATATATTTATAAATTTTTTTTATAGTGGAAAATTAAATGTATACTATTATACTGGTGATAAACGGAAAGACCAATTTTTGGTAGTAAAGTGAAAAACTCCTATTTTGGTATGATTTTACTGTCAAGGTTTCGTCACAAGTATGGAACATATTAGTTAATTTCTTCTCTTTGTTAATATTTGATTTTGATTTTGATTTATAATTTATTTATATTAGTTATATATTAATATTACTATTATTAACTTATTTTTTTTAATAGTTCAATAGAATAGTAAAGATACAGTATATTAGGTTAAACTAATATTTAAAAAAAAAAATCATATATTACTAATAATTAACATAATTATTACTATATAACATCCTATTTTAAAATAAAATAAATTTACCATACATAAACGTGGAAAAGTTTGTACTGTAAATAGTTTAAAAATAGTGGAGATCATAAATTGAGTCTCAAAATCAAGTTAGCGAAAGTTTTAGCAAAAACTTTCAAGATTCTAGATGATTAATATTTTTTAAATTACAATAAAATACCTAACTGAAACCGTTCGAAGAAAAGTTGTTGTTTCCATATTTACTATAATAAACTAAGTAAAGTCTAAAATAGGGCAAAATATTGTTGTAAATTTGTTATAGTTAATTGTAAATAAAATATTCTTACCTGAAGGTCCAAGGTATATATTTTGTGAGGCCTATGTGGTACCATATTGTTTATATCTGTTGTCTTGGAGAACTAGGCTACCAAATTTTAATTAATTAGTAATTAAGTAATTAAATGTATTTTTTTACTAAAACTTAATTTGGTAAGAAAGTTGGAAACAATATGTATTGAGCTAGTTTTAGTGAAAAATGAAAATCATAATATTACTATCAGCCAACAACTATGTCAAATGTGTTCTTACAGAGTCAGTGTACAGTACAAATGTACAATATAATCCCAAATATTTAGTTTGTTGTACAAAATATTTGAATAACCATATTTTATAGTAAACTATACTATTAATTATTGTTACTGACTTAAACAGCTAATATTAGTTTATTCAATATATTTGTAGCTAAACTAACTATTATTTTACCTAATCTAATATTAATTCAGTTAAATAGGTGCTTAGTAGTAATTCAACTATATTTGAGTATTATTAATTTGAACATATAATTATTAAAAGTGAAAAGATGTTTAGGGCAAGTGGATCAGCTGCACATTAAGTGTCAAGTGAGTCATTATGATGGATGTGTTATATTTTAAAATATATGAAAAACAATTCTGAGTGGAGACAGTCAATCAACTGATATTATTGAATACATTTTTGTTATGTTTTTTGATATAACTATTTGGTAAACTAATATATTATGCTATTGCATTTAAAAGTGTTATTTTTTGTAAAAATATAACAAGTTAATTTAATTAACGTATACGTGTAAGTTTTATGTCTCAGCAAATAATGTTTCTGAATTATAATAAAATAATGAATATCCTTATTCATACTTTAAATATGTAATTTTTTACGAATTTGAA